GATGCAGCATAGCTTGGATGGAGTAGAGTATGGGCAAATAAGGTCAACGGTTCCCAACTTTATGGGGAACCCACTCTTCAAGGGGCTGCTTGGAAATAAATGGGATCATATTGGATTGTCAAAAAGAAAAGAAGTTAGAGCTTGCCATTGCCATTTAGTACTGACGGACCAGGTAAAATAAACATTCTACGATGTGCAGGACAATCCCACACAGTGAAGAGTTGTCCGTAAAAATGTCAGTAGAGCCCCCTTTGAGAAATACTGGGAAGTAGGTAAGGAATTAACAAAGTCTAGAGAATTTAACTCTAGGGCCTCAGCATATCCTTTAAAATCTGAGATCACAACCTCCATTTCACTCAGTAAATATTTACTAAGTACTAAAAGATAAACTAAGGCACATTAAAATTTTAAAGAGTTTATTTGAGGTCAGGCACAGTGATCCCAGCACTTTGGGAGGACAAGGCAGGTGGATTGCTTGAGCCCAGGAATTTAAGACCAGCCTGGGCAAATGGTGAGATCCTGCCTCTACAAAAAATACAAAAATTAACCTGGCATAGTGGTGCATGCCTGTAGTCCCAGCTACTTGGGAGGCTGAAGTGGGAGGATAGCTTGAGCCTAGGAAATCGAGGCTACAGTGAGCCATAACTGCACTACTGCCCTCCAGCCTGGGTGACACAACAAGATACTGTCTCCAAAAAACAAAAACAAGAAAATGTTTGAGCAGACAATGGTTAACTCATTTATGCGGGAGGTTGCAAATTTTTTTTTGTGAAAAATCAGACCTTGGCGATGACCTTGAGCAGGATATAAATAACTCCCACAAGCTCAGCATTCCAATAATGGAGCACTAGGCATATTAATGAATTAGTCAGCTCCAGAATGCAAGCAACATGGGGCTGCACCAAAGGGACACAGTTAAAAAGCTTTTGTAGAGTAAACGGCACAAGAAAGGCCAAGAAAATCTATGATTGGTCAAAGTGGAGTAGTCTTACTTGGATCATTCCAGTAAAAGTCAGTGGTTAGAGGTTAGTTGGTTTCTGATTGGTTAAGCTAGAAGTTTCATTTTCCTAGAATAAGACCATTTAGACTGAGTTGGGTGTAAGTTTGTTTATGTAGGAACCCAGGGCACTGGAGCTTCCTCAGGCAATGGCCTCCCAATTATTTTAACACAGGAAGCTGTTTTTGCTGGGCAATAAATATGTTTCCTTCTTTCCTTTGACCATGATGAAGCTTGGAACTTTGTAGCCTACCTTTAATAACTGTACAACATTCACAATATATTTTCAGTATAACTCACCCTAATCACATCTTTCTATTCAAGTTTCATATTTCCACAATCTTGATTTCTCTTTATTTTTATGTTATTATATATTATATAGTTTATAAGCTACCTCAAATACTTTTGGAACTAAGCTACAAAAGTAAAATGAAAAAACGGAAAAGAAAAAGAAAACTAGATAGTAAGATGAGAAGAAAAAAATATTACACGGAGCCCCCAGATCATCCTGAGAGGTTTAAGATACTTTTTTTTTTTTTTTTTTTTTTTGAGAGAGAGGGGGTCTATGTCGCCCAGGATTGAGGGCAGTGGTGCCATCTTAGCTGACTGCAACCTCCACCTCCCAGGCTCAAGCGATCCTCCCACCTCAGCCTTTTGAGTAGCTGGGACCACATGTGTGCACCACCATGCACAGCTACTTTTTTGTATTTTTTGTAGACACAGGGTTTTGCAATGTTACCAAGGCTAGTCTCGAACTCCTCAGCTAAGGCAATTTGCCTGCCTCAGCCTCCCAAAGTGCTGAGATCACAGGCATGAACCACTGCACCCAGACTTGGTTTAGGAGACTTTCAAAAAGAAGTATAATACAGTCTTTGACTTCAATAGTTTGTAATCAAAAATTTTTTTAATTTTTCAGAATACACATTCTTTTCAAAGTAATCAAATTTTTAAGTAAAGATTCAAATTGAAAAGAACATCAGAGAATAATGGATAATAAAAAACAGTGATAAATTATACAACCACTGTCTGAAGAATTAGTATGGATTAAAATAATTAAAATTGCATGTATTACTATGTATTAAGAACTGGTAACAAACACTCAGAGCAACTTTTTGAGGTAAATTACTACGATTTTCTTTATTTTATAAATAAGGAAATTGAGACAGAGAGGGTAACTTGTCCAAGATAAGACAGCTGTTAAGTGTAGCAATTTGACCTAAGGCAGTCTAGAACCAGAGCCTGTGCCCTACAGGAGTTAGATTTCAGTTAATCCTTGAATTATAGGAGGATATAGAAAGAAAAATAGAAGGGATGGGGGCAGTGGCAGTGAACCTTGGAACAGACTGAAACGAGGTACACCAGTAAAGAACCTGAATGGAGAGTATAGATTGAGGGATATTGAGAATCTAGGGACAGGGTGCAGGAAGTTTACAGTCTTAAAACTCAAAGGAAGCTTGGAGAGGTAGCTCTCGCCTTTAGTCCTCACTACTCAGGAGGCTGAGGCAGGAGGACTGCCTGAGCCAGGAGTCAAGGCTGTGTAGTGCCTTCTAATTGTGCCTCTAAATAGTCACTGCACTCCAGCCTGGGCAACTTACAGAGACTCCACGTCTTAAAAAACAAACCAAAAAAAGAAACCAAAAAAACCCAAAGGAGATTCCATTTAAAACAGTTGGTAACAGGAAACCATTGTAGGTTCTTGAGCTCAGAAGAGATGATAAAAAGGTTTCCTTGGAAAGATGTTACATGACAGTGATATGAAATAACCCTAGCTTCAAAGCTAAACTATTACTAAGCACTCTTCCTGGATCCTATAAACCTATGTGATCAGGTAAGCACATTAGAGAAGTCTTGTCTCTGCAGTTTTCAGCAACCATTCCCTAATCAGAATTCCTTCAGGTACAGCTTATTCTCCTATTCTCCATTCCCCAACTTTCTAATTGTTTTATTATACTCAGGCTGCTTGTCCCCTGAAAACATTTGTTTTCAACAGATAATCACCAAATGATCTCTATGGCTTTTTTTTTTTTTCTTAAGATTCCCTGATTATATTTATGATTCAAACACAACCTCCTGGGTCCCAAACACATCTCTAGGCTTCAAAGATAATCATCAAATCAAGCTCATCTTAAGAAATCTTCTGTTAAGTTTTACTCTCCTTGTTTTTCCTAAAGGGCTGCTTTACCTTTCTCAGAAATGTATTAGGCATCAGGAACTACTGTCAACATATAGTTTGTCACAAAACATTATACATAACTTGAATGGCCCACCATGTAGCAAAATCTCAGTTAACCTTATCATAACAAAACAGGAGGTGGCAAGGGAAAAGCAGGAGACAGGGGAAATAATCTTTTAACACTCCACATTCAAATGAATGCAGTTTAGAACTACTGTTTCCACTAATTTCTTCAATTTAAAATATCAATAACAATGTTTAAACTCTGCAATCTGCAAGACTTTAATTTTAATTTCTCAATACTCTGGATTTATTTTTTGGTCAAGGTTCTGTAACATTTCCTCTGGTCACTGTTTAACCCTTCGGAAGCAATGAGAAAGGATTCTACTTGGGGTCCTAAGATGTATTTGAGTACCACACAGGGCCGATGTCCTCCCATCCTGAGAAGCATAAACTTGTTTTTGCCACTAAAGAATAGTGACCATTGTCCAATAACAAAAGTTATAAATATGATTCAAAATGAACCTGTGACAAAGACTTATTAAACTCACAATGGAGCAAGCTGAATGGCTTAGTGCGCTCAAAAGCATTTCAGGAACTGAGCATAAACACTGAAGAAAGGATAAGTTTGATAGGTTAGATAGAAAAATGGTTAATATCGGCCGGGCGCGGTGGCTTATGCCCGTAATCCCAGCACTTTGGGAGGCCGAGGCAGGCGGATGGATCACAAGATCATGAGTTCAAGACCAGCCTGTCCAATATGGTGAAACCCCGTCTCTACTAAACATACAAAAATTAGCTGGGCATGGTGGCGGGCACCTGTAGTCCCAGCTACTTAGGAGGCTGAGGCAGGAGAATTGCTTGAACTCGGGAGGCAGAGGTTGCAGTGAGCCGAGATCATGCCACTGCACTCCAGCCTGGGTGACAGAGCGAAAATCTGTCTCCAAAAAAAAGAAAAAAGAAAAAAGAAAAATGGTTAATATCCTACAACGCAACAGAACTACAACCTTTAGGAGTACTGTATTTTTTTTCTATCCCACTCAAATAATTTGCATCTCCATTACTCCAAAAGATGTGAACTACAAAGCCTAGGCCCTAATCAACATCATCATGCCAAACAAAATACACTCCCCTAGACATCTAAATCATCTTCAGGTGGGCCTATTAAACAGACTCCATTTTGACTCTGAAAAAAACATGCTGTCATCCTTTTGCCTTACTTCCAATACTTTTGTAATTTTTACCACGAAAAGTTTCTATAAATCAGTCAACTATTCCTTTATCATTCTCCCGCCCTCCCCGCCAATTCTTGATTTTATAGGTTTTTTGGGAGGTTTAAAAAAAAAAAAGAAAAACCTGTTGGCTTTAAATACCAAGTTATTCCTCCTGATACTTGATGAATCCGAAACTTCAAATTAAGTTCGACTCAGCCACCGGAAACCCCAGTAATTTAATACTGTTTCAACGTCACATGGCCAAAGATTTGCTATCAGTATGTGGATTTTAAACACAAGGTAGTAACTACCCACTTCGAGGGTGCTGCAGCAATTGGGTACTGGGCCAGGAGTGCTGGTGACACCGTGTGCGCGACAGGGACTGGGTCCCGGGGAGGGAGTGTCCTCGCCCTTCCCCGCTCGCCCCGAGCGCGGCGGCCAACACAGGCCCGCAGTTCACCGGCGGGGACCCGCTTCCCCGGCCTTTTGTTCAGGACTGGGCTGTGTCCCCGCCTACCCGCGCGAGCCCTTCCTCCCTGTCCTAGGAGTAGGGCGAGGACCGTGTGGGAAGCAGAGCCGGGAGGCGGCGACCGGCAGGGGCTGTGGGAATACTCACCCCGCTCCGCTCGGCCCCTGACCCCGCAGCCTAGCCCGGCGAGGGCGGGGCGACGGGGCCAGGGGGAGGAGAGCTGGAGAGTGGAACCCAGCGCCCTGCGAGGCCACCGCCGCGCCAGTGCCCCTAGGGGGCTGAATGATGGGACTACGGGGGCCTCGAGGACGGAGGAAGACCCAAGCCAGCGCGCCCCGAGGCCAACCAGAAGTGGTGGTGGCCTCCTTCAGACAGAGCCGCCAGCGGCCGAGTCGGAGCGTGCGCATTGCGCCTTCCCGTGCGCCGTGGGGGCCGCCTAGCGCAGGCCGGTGACGTGATCGGCCGCGCGCTCCGGGCAGGGGCGGGGCTGGGACCCAGGCCGGGACTGGGAGGGGGTGGAGAGGAGGGAAGCGAGACTTCCCTGCCGCCCGCTTCCACTGCCGCCAAGGCCCCGCCCTCGCTTCGCGGGCAGCTCTCATCCCCCCCACCCCCACCTCCAACCCAGCGCAGGCGGTGCCCTCCGCGGAGCACAAAGGCGGCTCGTTGAGTGGGGCGCGGGTTACTAGCAGCCCCCTAAGAGGTTGGAGAGCCGTGCCAGCATTCACACACTACAAAAAGTCCTGTAAACACCACAATTAAGCACAAGCATGGCTACCCCTTGAAAACTTACGGATGGAGGGAGAAGTTAGGAATTCGAATATTGACAACAGTACCATCTGTGGCACATATCCCAGAGGAGAAAAAAAAAAAAAAAACTAGCAGCAAAATTAAATTGGGGCGAAACGGTGGGGATAAAGACTAGAAAAATGTAAGAGTAACAGGGGTAATCGAACTGAAATAGACATCTGAAAGAAAACTAGCATCTGCTCCTTCTAACAACAGAGTTAAATGTGTTGGAAATGAAAGGAGAAAATGCAGGCGAAGAAGTGAAAGGAAAACCTGCCTTCAAACTACATGACATGGTTTTGATCTTGTACTACAGTTGTATAAGATGTCATCATTGGAGGAAACTAGGTGATAGGTACACGGGACTCTAGGTGCTGTAGTATTTTTGCAGTTTCCTGTGTCTATAATTATTTCCAAATAACAAGTTTTCCTTTTAGACAGAATACTGATTAGTGGCGACCAGGGTGAAGGGCTGGAGGAAGGGGTTGACTAGAAAGGTGCTTGAGAGCTTCTATACCGTGATTGTGTTGGTGACTAAACCAGTTTGACGAAACCCGTAAGAGGTATAAATTTTACTTTATGTAAAATAGTTTAAAACTCAAAATGGTGCGACTAATAAAAATGAACTTACACTAACTTTTTTTTAGCAACTATGGCTATAAATTAATTGGTAGCTGCCAATTTAGATTATCCATTTAATTTTTTTAAAAGCACAAGGCAGTGTGTTCTCAATGAGAGCTTAAGTAGACCAGGTATCTCCATCAACTTTAAGTATTTACCTTAAAAACGTATTTCACAGATGAAAACAAGAATGTGGCTGGGCGCAGTGGCGCACGCCTGTAATCCCAGCACTTTGGGAGGCCGAGGTAGGAGAATCTCTTGAGCCCAGGAGTTCGAGACCAGCCTGGGCAACACAGTGAGACCTCATCTCTACAAAAATGTTTCAAAATAAGAATACATTTTTAAAAAAAAGAATGCACTGCTTTACATCGTACTCAATATTTTAGAAACGCAGCGCACCAACCACCATGTTAATTAAAAAACTTTTTTTTTGCACTGGAGGTGTTTTAAAGTTTCATAATTCACATGCCAAAAACAAAGAAACTAAAAGAAATAACTCAGTTAACCCCCATGTACTTCCTGTCATCATATCCCTCATGGCAACGAATGATATTGGCCTGTTTATGTGTTTACCGTACAACACTATAAAGTGCTTTAAGGCTACGGTCTGTCATCACAGCATTTCAAGGTTCGAGCAGGGCCCCTATAGCTCTCCTCTCTGATCACTGAAGTTCACTGAAAAATCCACTCACAAAGGGCAGAGTAATTGGAGGAAAGGCAAGCAAGTTTATTTAGCACATATACATGAGAACCTTCAGAATGAAGACCCAAAGATACAGGGAAAATTGTAATGTCCATTTGTACGTCCAACAAAGTATGGACAGCCATGTACAAATATGATTGGACAAAAGGGTATGCTCTAATGCTAATAGCCTGAGTGGGGAAACCCAGCAAGGCCTGTCTGTCTAGATTCTTCTTGGCCTCTCTGAGCATGCACTCCTACCTTCCAGGTGTGGGGCGGGACCGTCTCTGCAATGACGGTCTTAGGACCTACAGTCAAAAAAGGTAGATCAGATAATTTCTTTATGGCCAGTTTTTACAAAAAAAGGTGGGGGGAAAATTAAAGTAATATTTCCAGGATTTATGACTGGCTTTGGGGAAAAGAGGTTCTAGTTTCTATGGCCCGCCTAGTTTCTATAGCTAGCCTCAGGGGAGAATGGGACCAAGAGACAGGAAGGCAGGAGAAGGTCAGAGAAAAACTTTTGCTTCTGAGAGTTTCATTGTGGAGTATTATTTTCTAGTCCCGATAGTCCTAACTAGTAGTAAGTATTCTTGGAATAAAACAAGGAATTGATCACAGAAAGAAAGGGAGTTAAAACTTATTGAACACCTATTATAGTCCAGAAGCTTTATATGTACATAGTTAATCTCATAACTTCTTGATATACCCATTTTATAATATCTTAATTATTAAATCCTTTTAATACTTATTTTATTAGATTTCTCTGTTTCATTTGAACATGTCGCTCACTTCTAAAAAGTCTTGCTTCCTTTCGCTTATGTAAAACCCACAGTCCCCTGATTCTCCTTCCAGCTCTGTGGCCATTTTTTTTTTTTTTTTTTTTTAAAGACAAAGTCTCCCGCTCTTTCACCAATGCCCTGGTCATAACTTACTGGTCATAACTTACTGTAACCTGGAATTCCTGGCCTCAAGCAGTTTTCCCGCCTCAGCCTCCCGAAGCGCTGTGATTACAGATGTGGCCATTCTTTTTTCTCATTGTTTTAGGCTTTTGTTTGTCCATTATGCTTTAATGCTCATGTTTCACACAGAGCCTTCTAAAAGTTGAAACTTCAACTTTTTTGTTTTTTTGTTTTAGTTTTCTGATACTCATGTAAATTTTTTAAATTCAAAATAGGGTTATACAAACTGCATTACATTCAAAGTCATTTTCCTTTAACCAATAAACACTTTTATTATCAAAAATTACAATGCAGTATAAATGTATCTTTCAAGATGTAATTACAGGATTTATTTAAAAATAATAATTCATAATATCCTTTCGAGTGTATGGTCCTATAAAGGGTCACAACTTTTTAAGTTCCATGGTAAATGTCTTATTTACTCAATCTTGCCAGTTCTTATTACTTGCATGCATATATCCTTTCTGCTCATATCCCATAGGTCACACCTATATTCAAGGAAGGAAGAAAATGTAGCGTCTAGCCATGGGCTCAGTCAAACCTTGACAGGGTGGGGTTGTTTTTTTATTAAAAGAAAAAAGAGAAGAATAGATACTAGGGAACAAAAGCTATCTCTACTGCAGCTTATAGTAGGCAGATCTCTCTTCCACCACCCTCCAGGAGGTCCTTAGGGAAAGACAAATTATATAAAAGAGTTAGAGGAGGTAATCTGATTGGATGGTAGAGATAAACTTGTCTTGAAGCTGTGTGTGCATAGCACTTACTTAAAAGTGTGAGAGAAAAAACACTAGTAGGCAAAACTATAGAGACAGTAAAAGATCAGTGGTTGCAAGAGTTTGGGAGAAGGGAGGCAAAGAGGGAAGAGATGAATACGTGGAGAATAAGGCATTTTTTAGGACAGTGAAACTATGATATATGTTACTGAAATAGTGGATATGTGACATCATGCATTTGTCAGAACTCATATTGCAAAGACAACGAACAAGGCTAGAATCTCATAACCCAGAAGGATATGCTATTGACATGCAGTTTTTCTACATCCCCAAAAGTAAAAGAACATAGGACCCTCTCAACCAATTCCAATGGGAGTAAAAAAAGCACCTGGATAATAATAGACCACTGCCAGAATGATCCTTGTAGAACATTGGGTTCCCCTGATAAATCTAAAATACAATGTATAGTTCCCAACTATCTTCAAATGCTTGAAAGATTAAAAAGTCCAACCACGAATGTTAAAAATGTAGACAAAGCAGGCCAGGCGTGGTGGCGCATGCCTGTAATCCCAGCACTTTTGGAGGCCCAGGCAGGCGGATCACTTGAGGCCAGGAGTTCGAGACCAGCATGGCAAGTATGGTGAAACCCTGTCTCTACTAAAAATACAAAATTATTCAGGTGTGGTGGTGGTGCATGCCTATAATCCTAGCTACTTGGGAGACTGAGACATGAGAATCACTTAAACCTGGGGGTAGGGGTAGAGAGTAGGGTAAGAGTGGGAGCGGAGGTTGCAGTGAGCCAAAATGGCACCACTGCACTCCAGCCTGGGCAACAGAGCAAGACTCAGTCTCAAAAAAAAAAGGGGGGGGGGAGACAAAGGAAATACTGAAATTCAGTACATAAAATATTTCAACTTATTCTGACTCTTACTTAGATTGCTCAAATTGGATCATTTCCAGAAATGTGTTCTAACCTTCATAGTACAAACTAGACTCTGAAGAATAAGATACTAAAAACTCAAGCACAGGTAGAAGCTATAATCCCATTACTATCCATTTATTTTTTTTTTTTTGAGACAGAGTCTGTCTCTGTCGCCCAGGCTGGGGTGCAGTGGCGTGATATCAGCTCACTGCAACCTTCTTCACCTCCTGGGTTCAAGTAATTCTCTGGCCTCAGTGTCCTCAGTAGCTGGGATTACAGGCGTGAGCCACCGCGCTCAGCCTAATTTTTGTATTTTTAGTAGAAACAGGATTTCACCATGTCAGTCAGGCTGGTCTTGAACTCCTGACCTCATGATCTGCCCGCCTTGGCCTCCCAAAGTACTGGGATTACAGGCATGAGCCACTGCGTCGGCCTCATTGTCATGCATTCTTAGCTATAGCACATCACTGCTGCAATCTACATTACCTTTATCCTTTGCTAACATCAAAACCTTTACAAATAATTTTCAGTAACCTTGGGACTTTTTTTAAATGTTTCTTTATTTTATTTTATTTATTTATTATTTTTTTTTGGTATGGAATCTCACTCTGTCACCCAGGCTGGAGTGCAGTGACGCCATCTGGGTTCATTGCAACCTCTGTCTTCCAGGTTCCAGTGATTCTCGTTCCTCAGCCACCCGAGTAGCTGGAATTACAGGCGCAC